CTTCCGTTCAGGCTGTACCGTTGCAGACTTGCAGGTGATGGTGGGGGACACTAAGGACTGCCACACCTCTCAAATCAAAATCCCCCAGCACAGAAAACTAGCCTGTCAGGAAGAAATCTAAGCTGGATTGCTTCTCCTTAGCCCCTAAATTTCTATGCGCAGCAAGGACCCTTTGATCATTTTTAAGAACATAAGAATGTAAGAACATAAGAGAAGCCAATGTTGGATCAGGCCAATGGCCCGTACAGTCCAACACTCTTGTCCAACAGTGGCCAAAAATACCAGGGGCCCTCAGGAGGTCCAGCAGTGGAGCCAGGACATTAGAAGCCCTCCCACTGTTGCCCCCCCCCCCCCCCCAAGCACCAAGAATACACAGACACCCTGTGAAGTAGGCGGGGCTCAGAGAGCTCTTTCCAGAACTGTCCTTGAGAGAACAGCTCTGACAGAACTATGGCTTGCCCAAGGTCACCCAGCAGCTGCAAGTGGAGGAGTGGGGAATCAAACCCGGTTCTCCCAGATTAGAGTCCGCACACTTAACCACGACACCAAACTGGCTCGAAATATCTTGTCGGGTGCTCATTACAACCATTTACAACCAGGCCCACTCAGTCGTTGTCTGATACTCTAAGCCAGGGGTATCTAACTCATTTGTTATGAGGGCTGGATCTGACATAAATGAGACCTTGTTGGGGCGGGCCACTTGTGTCATAAAATGTAATGCCAGGTAAGCGGAGATATGAACTTTTATAAAGGACACAAAGACAAAGATTTTTTTTTAACTTAAAATAAAAACATGCTTACAGCATTAGCTCTGTAAGCTGCCAGCCTACATTCACCACAGAAATCTCATGCTCAGAGTTCTGAGTCTGGGACCCAAGTGAAAACATGCAATGGCCGAGTGATTAAGAGAGTCTGGCGAAGCAAAGCTATGATGCAGCAGCAGCAGCAGCAGAACTGAAAGCAGGAGATGGCCAGTTCCACTGCGGGGTTGATGGAAGCCCTCCGGGGCCGTATCCGGCCCCCGGGCTGCATGTTTGACACCCCTGGGCTATAACTATGATATACAGAACTGCTTATGGATACAGGTGGGGTAGCCCTGTTGGGCTGAAGCACCAGAACAAAGTTTGAGTCCAGGGAACCTTCGAGACCAACAACGTTTAATCCTGGGTATAAGCTTGTATTTGAAGAAAGTCTGCGTGCACACGAAAGCGTATACCTTGAATAAAACTCTGTTGGTCTTAAAGGTGTCCCTGGACTCGAAAATTGCTTATAGAACAATATATAAAGAAAAGTGGTACATAAAGAGCAGGCACATGTCCTTGAGATGGAATTAGGCACACCAGTCTAAAATCAACACACGGACTGTAGGTTGAGGACAAACAAAAGAAAATACGACTTTACACACAGACTCCCTCTGAGCTGTGGAGCCTTGTGAGCAAAAATTCTACTTGGTGAGCTCCTGGCATTAATTAGCCTGCTCTGGAGCCATCCTTCCTGAGCCAAGACAAAAAAAATCTGTGAACCGGAGGCTAAAAAACTGTAAGCTAGCTCACACTAACTCAGCTTAGAGGGAACACTGACAGAGAGTGATTAAAATGTGGAATTCACTGCCAGAGGATGTAGTGATGGCCACAGGAATAAGCAGCTTTCAAAGGGGATTAGATAACTTCATGGAGGATAAGTCTATCAATGGCTACTAGCCATGTGGTGACTGAGGGGAACCTCCACGTTCAGAGGCACTAAAGCTCTGAATCCCAGAGCCAGGAGGCAACGTCAGGGGAAGTCCTCGGCCTCTACCCCCTGTTGTTGGGCCTCCAGAGGAACTGGTTGGCCACTGTGGGAAATGAGATGCTGGACTAGATGGACCCCAGAGCTCTTCTGATGTTCTTATAAAGTTCTTGGCCTCTCTGCCCTGTTGTTGGCCCTCCTGAGGAACTGGTTGGTCACTGTGCGAGACAGGATGCTGGGTTAGATGGACCTCTGGTCTCATCCAGCAGGGCTCTTCTGATGCTCTTATGAAGGCCTCGGCCTCTGTGCCCTGTTGCTGGCCCTCCAGAGGAACCAGTTGGCCATTGTATGAGACAGGATGCTAAACTAGATGGACCTTTGGCCTGATCCAGCAGGGGTCTTCTGATGTCCTTAAGTAGTGGCATCAGAGAAAGGCTCTGGATCTCTCCTGCATACCTTTGGCCAAAGGCACAAGTGACTCCCGCATTCACTTGGGAAACCCAGGCATGGATGCCGTGCAAACGTAGATGTGGCTGCACCCGACATATGTCTTCCATAAAGTCTGACTGGTGGTGTTTCTTCCCTATAGTTTGCTTTGAAATTGGGGGGGGGGCATTACGGGGTGTGTGTGGTTCCCCCAGCCTCGCTTCCATTCACCGACCAAAGGCCTCACATGAGGAGATCGGCCAAGGGGGGTGAGTCACGAGGCCATGAAGATTAGTACTTGGCCTCCACCCCCCACTAAGACCCCTGGAGGGGGGGCTCCATGGGGTTGCCCCGTCCCTTTAATTAAACCCCCTCCCACCGCTCCGTAAGCACAGGGCAAGCTTCGCTGCCAGTGCCTAGGAGCTTCAAGGGCTCGGGCAGGAGGCCAGAAGGGAGCGGCTCTTTGTTCAGGTCCTGGCAATATTGGGGCTGGGGGAGGCCATCCGTGGGGCCTTTGTCCTGGGGGATTGTCCCTCCCCACATCCTCCTCGTTCTCATTAGCCACGCATAGCTGCTCCGCTTATCCCTCTCTGCCTTCTTTGGACACCCCTGAAAACCTACGTTGCTCTTTCCCCCTTCCAGGCAGTGGAAGATTTGCACTCTAGGATGGCCTTAGAGGGTGTTTTCTTTCTTTTTCTTTTTGCACCCAATGCAAAAAAAAAGCAAGACATGCTCGACTGAGGTTCCTCTTTTAAAGGGCACCTGGACAGTGGAGGCAGACAAAGGGCGCACTCTCCAAAGGCTCCAACCGTCCTTACCTAAAGGTATAGGTGATAAAGGTTTCCCTTATATAGCAGGTTAATTTTGGGGGCTCCTCTCCCTGGTGAATCCCTGCTCAGATTTTGCCCTGGTTGAACATAAGAGCATAAAAGGAGCCCTGCTGGATGAGGCCAGTGAGGGTCCATCCAGCCCAGCATCCCGTCTCACACAGCGGCCAGCCAGTTCCTCTGGACCACCGACAACGGGGCATAGAGGCCGAGCCCTTCCCCTAATGTTACGAACGTAAGAAGAGACCTGCTGGATCCGAGCAACAGTCCCTCTAGTCCAGCCTCCTGTCTCACACAGTGGCCAACCAGTTCCTCTGTAGGGCCAACAACAGGGCAGAGAGGCCGAGGCCTTCCCCTAATGTTACGAACGTAAGAAGAGACCTGCTGGATCAGAGCGACAGTCCCTCTAGTCCAGCATTCAGTCTCACACAGTGGCTGTTGGGTGATAGTGAGATATTGAAAAAAAAAGGTATTTAGCAGAGATAAGATAGTCCAGCAGAGCCAGAGTAAAATAATTCAGACTGAGAGTCCATGTGTTTTTAAAATATAAAGTTTTTAACTAAATTCTAGCATGGGAAGGGTAACAGGGATGAAAATAACAACAGAGCATAATCGGCTACATCCTTACTTTACAAAGACAAAACTAGAAGAGAAGAGATTATGGCTACTCTTTTTTATGCAGCAGCCAAATTGCTCGCTCACAACTTTAATGCCAGGAGCTCACACAGTAGAATTTTTGCTCACAGGACTCCACAGCTTAGAGGGAGCATTGAACATGAGTCGCTACGATTGTCATCCTTCAAGAATCCAAGCCAAGAGGTCTAAATTTCTCAGTGACTGGAGTGGATGTCCCTTGCCTGGATCACATTAGCATGCAAATGTATGCAAATACACATTAAACCACCATTCACACTGCAACAGTGTAGGTAAATTCAGTTAAAATTATACAGGGAAGAAAGAAACTCTGTGCTGGGAGCTTTTAGGGAAGAAACGGAAAAGACAACAGTACTTTCTGCACAGGTGATAGAGTTGCATTGTGCATAATAGTTCACAAAGTCACTTGGACTTGGATTAGAGGCTGTGGTGTGTACTACTGCGTATAGTTTGCTGTAAGCAGGATCCTGCTATGTAATTTTTGCATAGGTTAATACGTCCTGTTAATGCTTCTGCCTTGCTGCAGTTCTGTTTTTTAAAACATTTCTGGTGCAAACTCTATGGTAAAATAAATAAATGGTATACTTTAGATTCTAGATGAAACCCCTTCCCAAATCCCCCCCCCTCCACAGGCACTGACTCCAAATCTCCAGGTATTTCCCAGAACAAAGCCAGCCAGCCCCTAGATGAGCCTCTAAGAAAACGAGTAGCTGACCAGAGCCCTGGAAAGTGCTCAGCTGGACTGTGAGGTGATCAAATAGGCGGTGAGAGACGACCTCTGGTTAGCCAAAGTCTCCTCCACCTATGGGGGATTGCGCCCATTTCCCCGCCTGCACCACCGAGTCCGGTTAGAAGAGGCTCACAGCGACCCCTAGCCGACCTTCCGCGCACTGCAGGCCCCCAAACGTCCCCGGCCTTCGCTCCGCCGCGCCAACAGTTTGGTGCATTTGGGCATTATGAGCTGCGAAACCTCCTGAAAGGTGTGACTTGGGGCCAATGCTGCCTTTGAAGCTGGGGTTTTTTCCCACGAGATGGGAGCACAGGAGTCCAAGGGAGGCGGCGGCGGCGGAAGGTGCCGAATGCGCAGGGCCTGGCCTGCGAAGCCCAATTCCCACCCCCGTTTAATCAATCAATCAATCAATCAATTAATCAATCAGTAGAAAAGGGAAAGATCCGGTAGCACCTTAAAGTCTAACAAAATCTGTGGCGGGAGGAGCTTTCGGGAGTCACTGCTCACTTCTTCAGGTACAGAACAAAGTTCGAGTCCCGTGGCACCTTGAAGACCAACAAAGTTTAATCCTGGGGGGTCTATAAACTCTTTCGTGTGCATGCACACTTCTGCACTTCATGTTGCTTCATACCAGCATGTCCCACACACACCTGAATCTCTCTTCGGATACAGTTAGAATGCGAGTCCATCTGTCCTTATATCTTATATCTGTCCTTATAGTTTATGTCGCTCCAGCTTCCAGTATATAGGACAGATGGACTCTGGTTCTTGGTGTATCTGAAGAAGTGAACAGCGACTCAGAAAAGCTCCTCCCCTGCCACAAATTTTGTTAATTTTTAAGGTGCTCCTGGACTCTTGCTCTTTTCTGCTGCTACAGACAAACATGGCTACCCTCCTTCCTTCCTTCCTCCCTCCCTCCCCTCTTTCTTTCCTTCTTTCCTTCTTTCCTTCTTTCCTTCTTTCTTTCCTTTTCCTTCTTTCTTTCCTTCTTTCTTTCCTTCCTTCTTTCCTTCTTTCCTTCTTTCCTTCTTTCCTTCTTTCTTTCTTTCTTTCTTTCTTTCTTTCTTTCTTTCTTTCTTTCTTTCTTTCTTTCTTTCTTGTTAATTATAGTCCGCCTCTCTCACCGGGACTCCAGGCGGCTTGCACACCTTTAATTCAGACAAAGAAATCCAAGTATTTAAAAAAATATGGCCAATTCCAGAAATGTTTAAAAGACGCTGTTGCATGAGAAACACACTCAAGGTGTTCACAGGAAAGAAGAGAACAAACACCAATAACCACCCATCGCCCCCCTTAATTTTTTAAAACGTGATTTATGCGTGTTTCTTTTTTATCTTTGTACATCCGCCGGGAATCGAACCGGAGCCTCTCCCG